TCAAGCTGAAGAGCCATGACTTGAGACAGGAAAATAGTTCCGCCTCAGCTGTRTAGGCATATGCGATGGCGGAGAGTATATCATGGTATATTAAATACCATATCACGTACTTTATGCATTGGTACCAAGGGTGGACTGTTACTATAAAACAATCAGATATAGTTTAGTGACAAGTCATCGTTGTATTGTCCTACGTCTTCAAGACGGACAATATAAAAACGCCCTACAAACTCGTATCAGYACAGACGAGTTGTAAAACCAAGACTCCATATGCTCAAACGCTAAGAAAACGCATTGAAGTATTACGCGTGGGAAAAGCTAGCATGATGGCACGACCGATCAGATCTMATTACAAGCCTAATACAATGATCTGAATTAATTTGAAAATACACTTATTTTAGACGAAATATATTCCCCCCGTGGCTCTCTCACCATGTGTCATATCGTGTGCCATGTGGGTTTTAACCAATAGAATGATAGGATATTGGACTAAGATCGATACAGCGAGGACGCAAAATTGAGTGAAGGAAGCCATTGCGTCCACTCGCTTCACTTCATCCTCTATGACGTCAGAATTAAAATTAGCTCATTGATTCGACGCATGCGCGCGCAAGTTTCTACCAATTTTAAAAAGAATCGTAAAATCTTATTTCATTGGAGTCCTCTCATATATCAAAGCTTTTTCCATTACATTATTTAAAATTTTAAGCATTTTTTTTTTAACTTAAACAGCAGTGTTAAGAAAATATTTGATCAGCGGTTGCTCTTCTGACCTTCAGTTCAMCAAACAAAGCGGAATACCCCATATGTATAATTCTCACGACCTTGATCTTCGTGGGAAATAATTCCATTCGATATTTCTAAACTATTGAAATAAACCTTTTAAAATTTTTACCGGAAGTAATCCGTTTATACTACTAGAACATTTGGCGGCAATTTTCACGCGCGCGTGGTTTCCGGCCGTCCATTGGTGGCAATATAAAGTCGATCAGGAATTCGTAATGAGATTCGTGTTTCCGGATTGTTAAATTTAGGGTGGAAGGAAAGAATCTGAGACATGACATGCGGTCAGTTTAAAAATTATTTTGTGGTCACTAAATAAAGCGTTTATAGAAGGGATGATATATTGGGAATAAATAGGGGTTTAGAATTTTGGCCCTCGCACTTAAGCAGTGCGTTTTTACAACTAGTAGATTACGCCGGATGCTATTCAGGTTTACCTAAATATCACAGCATTTTAAAATGTCCAGTTCTTATGTTTATGCACGGAAAATATGATAGCAGCAGAAAATCTTGTAGTATATGTTGAGCATCTAATTAAAAAACAACTCAGGAAAAGAGCTTTACCATTTTAGGGKAAAAAAGGGATTACTTTTAAAAAAGAAAAGGTTCACTTTTTTTTGTCTTAAATGTTTTCCTATGTTTCTAAATCTATATCTCAGGCAACGGTTTTAGAAATATTTGAGCTCAGAAAGAGCGTAAAATTCAGTATCTGGATCCAGTGTAACCTGCGGAGGCATTGCCGAGTGTTTTTACAAGACATTAATCTTTAGTGACCCATAAAATATGATCGCGTCGCATACATTGTTCACCCAATAGTCTACCCAGCTGACCAGACGCAAAACATCAACATTTATTTTGATTTCATTGTTAACGGGAAATTTTCTATGTAACCCAAGCAGCTAGCGGTACACTTAAAGATAAACTAATCTAATTTCTTTACAAAGCCGCGTGTCTTTACCGTTAAATCAACAGTACATTTAATGCATACTGTACATCTGTATTTCATATACCAAGGGAAAGCCGGTTAACAAATTAAGCTTTGAATAYAACGCCGAAAATGCGCCGCGCTTTTGTCGGTATGATTGCGCGATATCTTAATGTCTTTGCCCGGTACCAGACGACCTGGCTACTTTTATTTACCAGGAATCAATATAGTATCAASTTTTCCTTGGTGGGGTTTATAAAATCGAACAGCAATTTTTAAATAAACGACGGCGGATTAAGATAGCTCACTTTCATCTTGTCCTGCTTGGACAGCAGGAGTGCTTAACTTGTTGTTACAGTTTGTTACATCATCTCTGGTATTCAAAGCCCTTTCCTTGTGACTATAGCTCCTTTATTAAAAAATTCTATAAAAAAGTAGRGAAACGGCGTGATTAAATACTTGGGTTACTAAGCAACAAATTATGATGGGGCCCCCTTAAAATGTCTGGACGGGGCCTTTTTGTTTACAAGGAAAAACTTTATGTTGAATAACAAACATTAAAAGAAATAAGACCTTTGAAAATCTTTTAAAATAGTTCAATACAAGGTGGTAGTTATTAATAGTAACCAAGACGTGAATCCAAAACCTATTTGAAGACAGCAGTCCAGTATCTGTACACACCAACCACTTGACCCTATTGAAATACWCTTGATATATATAGATACGACAAAGTTTAAAGTGCTGGGAACGGRGCTCTACTTCTAGAAGTATCCTGATCTTCAAATTCGCGGTTTACCCGTACATTAAAGCCATGTGACTTCGGAAATGACGAATGGTTTGTGCAATTTTTAGAAGTGTCAAGACAACGTCTTGTGCAATCCTTTTACAAGACACTGCAAGAAAAATGACTTTTTTGCGAGTAATAGCGTGAGTTAAAGAACGTTTGGATTTAAAATGAGCCGATCAGAAGAGAGGCCGGAGATTCTATTGTATTCAAATGAGGTGTCCGATGGAGTGATGTCTGCCTGTGTGACGTCACAACCCAATTTAGTACCTTTGATTCAATATGGCGGTCAAGGGATATTTTTTATAAACGTTTTTATTTCCCCHAAATTCAAAGCAATGAGCTCACGTTGCTGCCTAATTTGCATTCCAAAACTCACACAAAGCAAAAGTGATTGCACTTTAGCATTAAATGCTACGACCCCACCCGGCACCACTGCGAAATTGCTATCTACAAAAACCATCTATTAGCACTTGAGAACCACTAAGCTCAGTTACAAAGCTGAAACATATTGATGGTCACTTAAGTTTGTGAAGTCAAGGGACCCTCCCTCTGTCATGCGGTTCTTCAGATCCAAGAAAAATGATTCCATGACGTATTTATAGGTCCTTCCGGACATAAGTAGGACCTTGGTCTACTCATATTACATATAATAACAGTGTAACACTCGATTAGAGCCATAAGAGAATTACTCCTTGGTACAGCATTGCAAACTACGGTCTGCAAATGAAGACAAATCTGCTAAATATCCTTTGYGTGATCCTGGTATCATTAACATGTTGGTGCGSYGTCCACGCGTCAAATGGAAGAGATGGTCAAAACAATTGCAATAGTAAAAGGTGCAATTTTAGAAACGAATTGTCAGCTGATCCAGTCCAACCAGGTAAATGTTTCAACTTAAAATATTTATCATGCTTACCTTCTGGTAAACTGAATTTCGTCTAAAAAATATAAGCAAWTTTTATGCGTCTGGTGAGTACCTCCGGCTTGTACTGGTTTCAGTTATCGCTATGTTGACGTAAATTTGTTGAATACACAAACATGCTAAGCCGACATCCTGACTGAAATTTCAAAGCATTTTCCAAATGTCTGTAAAGACCTATTCCATGTAAACTTCTAGAGAACTTATGCAGACCTTTTAGCTATTCAGAAAACCATTTTATAAGTAGTTAATTGAGTAAGGCACTCTAAGAGATTCTACATGTTGTTGACCTCAACGAATCAAGATGAATAACTTTCATAATATAGATGCAACAATGGGTTTACCCTTGAGATTCCGATTCTTTTGGCTTATAAATTATTAGAAATTGACTCTTTTGCCTATATRTAAAATTGTATTAATACTAATAATAATATTTCTTAGTGCGTAATTTTTACGTAGATAAATTGTAAAGTACTATGTATTTTAATACTTTCTTCAAGTTATTAGCTGAAAATTTAATCTCAGATATTCTGTTTCCCAATATCCACAGTATGACATGAAATWAAATGAGCAATATTTTTATAATGTAGTTAAGGATAGGTACAATATGATATGAATTTTCCCAGCTCTGAAACCCACACAGCAGATTTAACATGATAATTTCTAATGCGTCAGGATTTTGTATTTCTATACCCCTCCAAGGGAAATACATTCGACTAATTTGTGCAATCAATCTTTCAAGTCAATAGTTAACGGCACTACTTTAATAGGTCGCACACTTCATTTCATCTGTTGCGTTTARATGTTAATGAGATTTAAATGATTCGGTCTTTAGACGCGAACCTTTACCGAGATTTACTGAAACGATGCCGGCTTGTTGAGCAAAATCATGTGATTCTATCCTGGATTAATTTCGCAAAAAAAAACTTCGGTTGGCAAGGTTTTGCAATGAGATTTTCCTTTCAACAACGCGCACGGATATTTTAKTAATTTGATTTGTTTCTAATCATAAAAAGTCATTTCGTTCCTCGATATAAAAATCTGAAAATGTTCGTTATTGGAATTCGTAGAGCTAGAGCAGTTAGATGGCTTTTTTCTTTATTGATCATTAGTTCGTAATCTACATTTGAATGGTATCCTGTGCTTGAGTAGCATCTTGCTTTCAAATGGTATCCTGTCTTCCATTTTACATTGCAGTGGTATCCTGTTCAAATGGTATCCTGTGTGTTTCGTAGTTTCTTAGTTTTAACCTAAGATCCTAGTCGATTTTAGGAAACTTTGTTGTACGCGACTTTTTTGTCTTAAAAGACTTTCTTTTATTTTTTGCAGTTTTGTCGGTGTGTTTGCTCTTCCTTATCATTATTTACAATGCCTGAAATTTTTTACATGTTATTTCACAATTAAAAAAGTTTACTCAATCGTCCCGAAAACATTAGGTTTACAACAAAACTAAATAGCTTTGGTCCTAAACAAATTACATCTACTTGAGTCTTTTCCGTGACTTGAAAGAACATAAACTAAAACTTCTAAAATAGCCACTAAAATCTTAAAAAGTACGATTTGTCCAGAGCATTACTTTAATTCCAGACAAACAACCATATTTTAACCCTTGGAAACAGGCTGCCATATTTTCTTGCGTTTTCCGCCACTCTTTGAATATTTGTTGCTGTCTTAACAGTWAAAACGTCCAAAATTGATAGCGAGGGTCATTTTCCCTCCAAGGAAGTCTGACTATTTGAAGAATGCTATTTGGTAACCATGATGGCTAGTTGTTTGTTTTGGCTTAATATGTTATTTTAGTGCAATGATAATAGGGCACCTTTAAACCCTCCCACTTAGCTAAGCCAGATAATTTTCATATAATAGTTCAGTGAGACGTCGCATTTTGCACGGCACAGTCGGCATTGACTTTACGAAGTATTAACTTACACCAAAATACCGTATATCTTGCGTTGTGTACGTTTACCAGTGCTTTGCATGGTCAAATGGCATAAMAACTACATATAAGCGAGCTCTCTGCGGCCGTCTCTATAGGGATGTCAAGTGTCAAAGACCACTGTGTTTCYTTATACCGAGTGAAAAAAAGCTGTCGAATGAMAAYATTTTGAGATTTTCTTTGACTTAAAACAAACCAAAGTTGCATTTCAAAGAATTTAATCCGATGGATCACTAGTAGCTGTCCAAACCCATTCAAAGGGAGTAAAAACGCACTGAAAATACGAAACTTAGAGATCCACGTCTGTTTCTTGATTGGCGCGGTGTTCACTCCACAGTATTGTGGCGATAAAACCTACATTTAAGACATTTTTACTATTCGTTATAAATTAATTTTATGTTAAACGAAAACGTACAATCTTAATAGAACAAACGATATAATACTTTTTATTTCTTGTTATTTTCATTTGATATGCAAATTTTTCAAGATAACATTTTCAAACCTAAGTATCTTAGGTTACATATATGTTACATATATGACGAATCTTTAGATCCACCGCAAAGAGCTATTGATACAAAAATCTTGAATAGCTGACAGATTGTGTTTATAATGAACACGGCTTGTGTATAGTAAATAGGCCACCATGTTAGAATTTCAATACTTATTCGACAAGAATGTACAGGCGTCCTGACTTAACTCTAGAATCACCTGCGGCTATGGTACACAGACACGAGTCTTTCGAAGTTGATGCAGATTAATGTGTGTTAAGATAACAAAATGAAGCCGAAGATACAGAAAAAGGGATGAAAGAAAGGAAAAATAAGCGAGAAAACAAGAAAAGGAAAAGCGTATGAATAAGTTAAAAGAAAAAAGTTAAAATTGAGTAGATATAATGGGAAGTGCGGAGAATAAGTCACAAGCAATACACACAGAGAAAGATAGGGAAATAATGGCAGGGGAATTGATGAAATAACAGAAGCAAGGGAAATATAACCTAGTGAATCTGTCTCTTTCACCGACAAGAATTTACCTCTTTTTGGTTTTGAAACATGGGGAAATCACACAAAAAAAGCCAAACATTTTATTGACATGTTTGCGTCTTCAGGGTAAAAATATAAAGCATTCCGACTTAATCAATGAACTTTTTAGTCAAAATAGTTCGAGAAATTTGTACAGGACCAAGTAAATCATACCGTACCGTGCCTCAGAGTAAGATTTCTAAGTTATTCAGTCTTTGACTATCTTCACATTGACACTTATTCCACATAATATGGCAATGTTCTGGCACCCTGGGTACAAGAGGGCTGCAAGCCTTCTCTTTCAAGCCCTGCAGGCCTTTGTCATTATAATTTTACGGACTGCAAATGCGGTGGCAGAATACTATGTGGTGGGCAGAATMCTATATGGTAGCCAGGATATACTTTTTAGTGATTTCGGATTCCAGCAAAAGATCCGTCGTATGCTATCATGTTAAGGGTCGCAGACGACCGCAGTAGTTTCACAATGGTTGTGGTTCAGTCTAAAAATATATCAAACACGATATTTTATAGTTAAAGAAGGATTTCCTACACTATAAGGTTTTCCTTCTGATGGCAGACGATGTCAATAATTGTGGTTTTCTATAAATATTCGATCCAAAATAGGATTTGAACGAAAGGATATCACAGTGTCTTCCTGGGTGTTTTCATGTCGCGAATTGGGCGGTAATCGGCGTCAATACGGATGTTAATGCAGACTTCTTTCGACTTCTTATCCGCTTACAAACGTTGCGGTGAGAATTTCGCAACTATACGGATTGAAGAAACGGAATGAGAGAGACGTAAGGAACGATGCTGATATGCTTACGTTCGTAGTATTTCAGAAAACGTCTTCAAGCTTGCTATGAATTGCGCTAGTATTTGCGTAAAAACAGTCGTGCGCATTTCAGTTATGATGGAGCTTTTTACTAAAGAGACTTGTTCAAATAATCATATATTAGAACACTTACGACTTACGACAATTCTACGCAATTCTACGTACSAAGAGGTCAATTGTATTATTATTTCTAATAGCTATAGGGTCTTTCATTGTTTACATTAAAGTACACCTACGTAAAGAAATGACTAACGTTTTTCTACGTGCGCTTTGCGTATGACAACATTTCTACATCGTTTCTAAAGACGTAAACTGAAGTTTTCTTTCTAATGACCGAAAAAAAAAACATTCTTTTTAGCTTCATAAAATTTACTCTCGACAACAGAAGGTCACTTTTTATGATAGAGTACAGTCATCGTGGAATCTTCAGACACCTTGGAGTCCAATCGCCCGCGCAACGATCGGATTTCGTACGGTTTTGTTAGTTTGACGTCAACCGTTTGCCCTGAACAAATTGTACGTATTTAATTAGGTCAACCTACAGTCTTTGTGAAAACCGCACTGTTGAATATGGAATCCTAATCATCATTTGATTGATAATGCTATGAGGACATCTACATTCGTWACCGTATCTTTTTAAACAGTCAAAAACGCATGAAAAATAACCGTTCAATTGCAATCTTAACTGGGGGAAGAATCAGTAAAAATCCTATTAATTTTTGTCTGCCTTATTCTATCTTGCAAACACAGATCTTAATGAAGTCTATCTTGAGGGATTTCAAAGAAAACGTTCAGGATTCACTGTCTTTTTTAAAACATTYAATTTTGTTCATTTMTTTTTYGTTCCCCKTYATGATRTAGTACTAAATACGATTGATAAACWATCAGCAAAAACAAAAAAAGATTTTTTGCCCTTTTTCACTTTATGTCAAACAAACATTTATAAGATCTCAGCAGAAAATCCTGAGAATAGATTGAGTTGAATTTATCTCGTAAGGAATTTCTTCGTATACCGCCTTCATAGATCTGCCATCTGGTGGCTAGACACTTGACTATTTACACAAACGACACGACTAAGTCAAAGACGCCGGCTTAAACACGCTTATAGAGACCGAGTGTTGATATATGTGTTGTGATAAATTGGTTTTACCTATCAGTTATATAAATTGTRACYGCACATATGTATAAATTATGACTCAGGGGGAGTGGGGCAAGCAGGTGYCTTTGGCACTGAGAACGCACTASTARGGTAGGGCTAGGAGAAATAAGTCTGTACTATATATGTTTATGGATTTATTTTTTCAGTTGATGAATCCTTACTGAAGTGCTGCGCATGTGGAAAAGCAACGTATAGAATGACTTTTATTGGTAGGTATATCTGTAAGTAATGATACACTTCAAGGCGTTGGCCTGTCTCTACGTAGATACTTTATGAATGATCACACTGTAAGCGGTTATGCAAGGGTGTTCACTTTGATTCACATGCCCCATCYATGATAAATAAAGTCAAACGAGACTCGCAAAGAAACTGGAAGTTTGTGGAGTGTTCAGTGCCCCTATAGATGCTCATTCAATACGCAGACGCTAATACCTGTTGTAAATAACCCTCAAATACTATTGTCATCTCTCAGGAATGTGGGACAGTCAAACACATCCAAAGCACTTTCCTGGACAGATGTCAAGCTGGTCTTCTCTGATTGGTTGTTCACATAGTAATAATTACCATATATGGCGACTTGGGGAAYTGGCTTCGCCGGGAGTTAAGAAAGTCAGTGAGATGGGATCAGTTTGGAGTCTGGAGAAAGAGATGAAACAACAAGGAAAGGTGGTTCATAGGTGAGTTTATGGATGCCATTCTTCTTGTCAAGTCGAATAGGGAATGTACAGCGTCGCCATTTTGTGTAAGAAAGCAAGATTGGAGTTTGTAGTCCTTTCGCTTTTTTGTGTACTCTAAAACAGGCCGTTTCTGTGCAGTTTCTTAAAAGAAAGCATTCTTGAGTTTGCAGGAAGATTGTTTAAGGTCTTTAAAAAGTGTGAGCACAATATCTACCAGAATGCTTTGTGGTACAAAATGGCGTCGCTATACACTGACTATTGGCTCCTATTTCACTTCTTAGGCATGCTATTAAATGGTCTCTAAGCCTAGTATTACAATCAGAGTTAGATTAGTACCTCTTATTGTAGAAGAGCAGTTAGTCTATCAATCATTCAGTCAGTCAGCTATTCTTTTCATATACCGGTAATTTCTGTAAATTCTTGTAGTGTTATAAAAGCCCCAGGACTATGGTGGGGAGTTGGACAATCGCAACCGACAAAGTTTGCTGCTGACCCTCAACATAACCTATTTAGTGTGATGTCCAGAATAATACCAAGCCCTGATTGGTTCGTTGGCATTGATAGTCTGAACCTTTGTCACTTAAATTGTACGTGGAAAGATGAAGARTCAGTAGATCTTTTCCCTGTTGATGCAGGTAAATACACCGGCACCGGTTGGTTGGTTGGTGGAATTCTTGCATGGTGGGTGGGTGGATTTGTTGGCTGGAGAGCTGGCTGATTGGTAGGATGGGTAGGTGGGTGGCTGGTTATTTGCTTGATGGGTTTTAACCCAATTAAAATTAAAATTGATGGATAGGCGGGTTTGTTTGCTTGTGGGTTTATAGTCGATTAACTAATATGCTGGCTGACTGACTGTATGAGGAACTGATGATGTTTGATGATGTTTTATCAGGAACGGATGACGGAATCAACTTCATATCAGTTAACTCTCAATCCACACCTCAACAACCAATCACACGGATTAGCACCAGGCTTCACGATCATCCCAAGGCGTCTTTCTATTTACCTGACAAYGACGTCATACGACCATTTGCCAGGATCAAAATAGAGAAAATGGCGGTTAGTGGCTCATGCGCGAGTGTTGCACGAAAATCTCCAGCTCCTACGAAACCAGGTAAGCCTGATGAAAATGATATTCTGAAACACACAATTATCTTATTTTCGGTACCCTGCCTTTATGTATATTTCTATGTTGTTCTCTAGCACCTCTTGCTAAATAGTTTACTAAATAATAAAACTATTTCTTTTTTCGATTCAGCGAGCATCAATTGCCAGGTTTCAAGATGGTCGTCATGGACATCGTGYTCTGTTACGTGCGGTATAGGTYTAAAAACACGTGGTCGTGTGGTTTTGGTGCAACCAAAGCATCACGGGATTGAATGTCCAAATCTTTATGAACATAAATCGTGTTACTTAAGGAAATGTCAAGGTAAATTCACTGTATTGTACGTTAAGTCCACAGGGATCATGAAGCGTCACTCTAAAGTCGTATTTCTTATATTCAGTCGAGAGTCACTCGAACGTCRCATTTCTCWAGTKCTCAAACGTCACTCAAATGTCGTATTAAAATGCTCATKCGYCACTTAAKAGCCGCTSAAACGTAGYATTTCTCTCTCAAGAATCACTCAGACGTCGTTTTTCTCATATGTTTAGACGTCCTATTTCTTATGTATTCTTCCATTGTCTGATTACAGTTTCCATGTTTCATTATTATTACAGTGCCTTCTAAGTGTATATTATCAGCGTGGTCCAGGTGGGGTAGATGTATTGGAACGTGTGGCGTTGGAAGGAAAAGACGCACTCGCACTATACTATACAAGCCCCCATATATAACACGCTGTCCTGTTAAAACCAAGAGACGAAGATGCAGACTTCCTCCCTGTCAGGGGGACAGGATAACTGGTAATGGTATAACAGTCAGGGGGGGTTTAGAGAGGTTATTCTGAAAAATACGCACGACTCCGTATGAATCCCAAACATCTGCACATAAAGTTACGTTTTGCTGAGCGTTTTACATATGTTTACAATTCAAAATTAACAGAGAACACCACGCAGCTGTTCGCCGTTTCAGTACGTACCCATGTATTTGCGTACTACGTCCTTGGTTTTTTTCCCATCTGTCTGACAGTTCATAATATAGCGATGAAGTTTTTACCATTATTTGCTATCCCGACTATCTAGTTTGACAAGCCTTATGACTGAGACGAATTCTGTTTGTTTTMCAGATAAAATTATCGATTGTCAAATGTCTTCCTGGTCACAATGGTCTAAGTGTAATAGACCTTGTCGAGGCAAGAAGAGAAGAACAAGATTTATACTAAGAAAACCAAAGAATGGCGGGAAACGTTGCCCTCCAACACGAGAAAAAAGAAAATGTAATCGTAGAAAGTGTCCYAAGAATTGAGGCAAGTATGAAAAAGTTTTTCCCTTGTTATTTTTGCTTATACTTTAATCTTGGTGAAAACCTGTCTTTAATAAACGTACTTTCGTTATTCGTTTTCAGATGTTTGCGACCTTTCAGATCTCCTTTAGCTAGAACATTGGATTCCCTACATAAAAGGTTATTTATTGTTTTATAAATTGGTATTAATTATTAAAGAAACAATCTATAGAAAGAATAGGAAACTGGTATATAATAAGTCTTTGTTAACCATTAATACATATTTAAATATTCTTATTAAATTTTTATTCATAATACAGCACAAAAACAAAAGAAAATAGCCTTGGAGATGATATTTCCATGGTTCGAATCCCTGATTGTGGGTCATGGAAACCCTTTTGTCCTTACGTTGCATAGTTTGATCAAAAAGTACTGAGTCTAAATCTAAATCTAAATCTAAATTTAATAATCTGCAAAGTTTGCACATCTAGCAGATATAGTCTAGTAGGACATTTCGAATACCTTCATTAATCGGGCCCCCTGTCCCTTTATTAAATGTAAAGGAAGCCCGTCAAAAGAATTTGCTACAAGGGAAACCATCGATACATGTATAACAAATTATGATAGTTTTGCGCACAAACACGTACTGGTGCGCGCGTCATGTATGCACTTTGGTCCTATTCGCACATGTCATGACTGACGCACACAAGTGAAGACTGCAAATAAGCTTTATAAGCTCCTTAACTGGAGAGTAATGTGCAATTGAAACCTCGTTACAGTCAAACACTTCAAACACATTTGTTTTTTATTTATATTTATTAATYTGAAAGTTATTTCGAAGCGTGCAAAAAAATTATATGTTTTTCAAAGATAGTAGTGTACCACAGTAGACTGTATTTCATGACACTTATGCCGAAACACGCGCTAGATTTACCTTGCTATCCAATGTTTTTAACACTACAGGGATTATTTAGAATGATTGGTTAACAAGACAGACTTAGAAGTTAACTTAGCATTTGTAAGGACTGCATTCACTAGTTAACATGACTCTAGTCCACTACTGAACGAGTGCAAGACTGTCCAGCATATATCATCTTATCTAAAGCTCGATGCTTACATAGGCACATAATATTGGATAAAGCAAGCAAGAAATGTAATAATAACACTAAATGTTGTGATGTCTGAACACAGGTTTCATATTTTCTTACCCCTCCCTGTCCCCACGCGCGCACAGTTTTTTGTGCAGAGACTCGAATATATTCTTCTGGGAGGGGAGGGTGGAACTACAGCTCTACTGAACTGTCATTCAGCCATGATTCTTTAAAAGTTGCGTTTATTGTCAGACTTTTTGTCCACGACTGCAGCAACAAAAGTACTTTCATAAAAACCAGACTATACAAAGGTTGTTACTATGAAGAGCTTCCAGCATTGTTTTTGGATAACAGTTTCAAAGCAGTCAATTTCTTCAGATAGTATTAATAATATCATTGATGTCCAAACAAGAGATGCATTAGATTGAAAAAACATGAGATAAAAATAATGAATTTACCGGAGCGCTCCTTTTTCCATTAAAAATAATTAGAAGTACAAATAATGCCGCAAGACAAGAAATGCCACACACTCAAGTCGTTAAAAASSAAAATTGGTCYACATAAATCTGTCAGCAAATCGACTGGTATGGATGTACAGTACCCATCTTTACCGACCTTGGATAGTTTGCCTGAATACATGTAATACCAAGCTGATATTCATAACAACTTCAAATCACAGAGAATCCAGTCAACTCTGAACAGAGGCTATTGATTGTTGTGTGTCTAATAGACGTCGCCGCGCACGTTTTGTCTAGCAACCAGTCAATTACTTATTGAATAGCTTCACGATCAAACAAAATGTCTAAATAAGTCGACCTATGTTTTGAATATTACAGTGAAATTGTATTGAACTAATAATGATTTAAGGCTCAAAGCATTCATCGATTTTGGATCCTTGGCGATTCCTTTTTATGGAGATAGTAGTTACCGGTGATGACCGCATTGCATCCCCATGGGGCTGACCACGCCCTGYCATAAATATGTCAGATATGATGTCCGTATTTTTCATATATTCATGCGTGGGCCATTTATAAGAGCTCCTTACGTTAAATATGATTTAAAGGACGCTTATTGCTGAAGGTATTATTATAACAGGCGACAAGAGCAGAGTGCAAGTATTATTTATCTTTTTGCTTGAGGGAATTAAGAGGGTTTATTATCCAATACTCTGCCCCCGCACTGCCGAAATACCGGGCTGTTTTACTGCTTAGGTGAAAACCATGTTTATCTTGATGGATATGAAATAGGTTCTAATCTTTTTTTCCTGTTTCAGTAAAGCTTTACAATACCACAACAACGATATATATGGTGCACCAGTGGATTTTGAGTGAACTTCATACATRACTAAAAATAGGCACAGATATACTTAAATCCATCTCTCATCGATTAATGTAATTGAAGGGCTATGATACAAAGATCATGCATTTGTATTGACAGCTCTGTGTACATATGGGAGTCTCTTTTCATTTGAAGAAACTGAATTGTTTATATTTTAATCAGATTAAAAGCTTTGCCATTTTGTTCAAGAGGRCATTTTGGGAGGTCTTGTTGTGTGAGGAGTGATGTAGTTCTTGTTTGTATTGTATAGTAATTTTTTAGCGTTAATGGTGGTGGTATAGTGTTGGTAGTATAAATGTAGAGTCGTTTGCGTTTGATCGTGTTAGTACTGATTTGTTGGTAAAGAGCAAAAGAAAACAATAGATTCAGAGTGCGATTCCGACTCTGATTCGAACTCTCACTAAACCTGTAAAATGAAAATGACTAGTAGTGATGAAGAACTAGTGGTAGTGGGGATAGTACTTAGTTGTTGTACTGCAAGTATAGTAGATTGTTGTAGATGTTGTTGTCAAGGTAAAGTTGTATGTATTAGCAAAACCGCGGCTAACGAGCGATTTTTCACTTGCGCATACAGGCGACGCAATTTTTCAAAATCACCAGCGCGCGAAGGAATCGCACGTCTAGCCGGCCTTGCGCAGGCGATGCAACAGCTGAAAAAATCGCAGAAATTAAATTAGGCACATCCTTTAAACCCATTCACGCTTCAACTATACCATCATGCACATGTGCTTATGTGCATATATAGACTGCCCGCTCGGCGGAAGTAACTGGAAGGGTGATACATCGATACTAGTGGATTAATGTCAGCATTTCTGCCATCACGCATAATAGTTACATTGGTCGTTTTCCATAAATGGACTCACGTATTTACRATATTGAGAATGGCATGGAAGGCATGGTAAACTCGAATCCTTGGAATTACACAGGAAACCCATSGACGTTATAACTTGATTTAAATCATTTGACAAACCTTGAGATGATTATGGAAGGCAATCGGGRCYTATACATCATGCAGCAAAATATACTACGATACAAAGCTTACAACCAATATGTCTTTCTCTATATCAGCGGTTTCATGAACAGCAATCGTAGAAGCGAGGCTAACAATCCAACGGAAAATATAAAAAATCGCGTTAGGTATCAATTAATTTCCATAAATTTCATTGTTCAAGTACCTGGAACGTAGTATTTTCTCTGCCTCGGTGGATGACTCTGCATCTTAATCATGCCTCTGAAAGCGTACGTAGATTTTAAACTTGGCGGGTTCGTGCGGTTCTCATTGAGTAACGTCACTCAACTGGAGATTTCGATTAAGCTGAATAGAAGTAAAGATAGCAAAAACTTGAAAAACTATTAAACGAATATGTGCACCAATTTACTTTCCATTCACGGGTTTATTGTCTAAAATCAGGCCGTGTAAAACTGCGGTTGAATATTCCTTACGACTGTCTGGCTTGATTTCTGAGCTGTCAATCAAGAGAGGCGGAGATTATGATGATTGGCTATGTACATGATTGACATATACGATACTCTTAAAAAAAAAATTGGATTTTAAATATGTTCAGATATGTTGCAATTCACCTGAAACACTGACAGATCAAGTGCTCGAGGAAGATTGTCGTTTTCTAAGAGTAGTTTCCACGTTCCCGACCTGCACGTTACACAGGGATCCCCTGAGACTGCTTACATCGTATACTGATTATGACGGCCAAGGTCAATGTRCATGGTGATCAAGCATAACGAATGTTGAGCTGGGCTACGTGATAAATTCAATGCAGCTTACGATTTAATAATCTGAAATTTTTACTTATACAGGCATAAAAATATAACTATATATCTTTATTTCTCATAATACTGGTTGTTGAATTATTGTGTTATCATCATTGTTATCATCATCATGCCCTACTGTGCTTCAATATTTACATGAAATATCACAAGCTGTGAGTTGACTGTTTACGAGGGACTAAACATGATGTCAGGCCCATCGTACACGAAACTTTTTCGTTAGTCAAACAAAAAAAAAAAGGAAATGAACCCATCAAATATTTAGAAATCGCGTATAATGACGCAGGAAATCGCCAAAAAATCAATGAACGAAGTCTCCTTTTTCGAATTTGAGTGTCTGGTGATGTAATTCTTTTATTATTGATGGAAAAAATCGTCAAAAAAGATAAAATGGGACAAAAAAGTCTTGTAATGGAAATGAATATGTAGGAGATATCGCGACTTTTTTTATGAAGGCTGACAAGCTGCAATCTCTAAAAATGATGTAACGTTCAACGATCAAATTTATTCTATATGATGATTGGCAAAAAGTTGATATTTTTAATATCAAGGTAACATCAATTTATTTACAATACTATAAAAAAATACTAAGATTAATATTTTCAAAACTGGAGACAAAACTTAAAATTCAAGGAATACACATATATTTTTTATGTAGATAAAATAATTAAAGAAAAAAATCAAACAGGACAAAATATCGATTGAAACCAGCCAAAATTTTATTTCTAGCGTTACGTCACGGTTTCCATAGTATCAGTATTGACAGATTCCTCTTCGTGTGGATTGGTTCGAGGCGCGCCTCCCGCGGGTCACGTGGTCTGTCCTCGAGTCTCAGGCTGCTGGTGCTGAGCTTGAACCGTAACGTCATGGGAAGATGGCGGACGGAACCTCGAGAGCAGGCAATGCCCTACAGAAGCGCCAGGAATCTTTAAAAAGATGGAAAGGCAGTGAAACAGATAGACAACCTGTAGACCGATCCAAGAAGAAAGCTAAAATCAAATTCAACGCAGGGATTGTATTTCTTTCGGCGGTTTCTAGCGGTGATGTGGACGAAGTGAAGAAATTGTTAGCAAAAGGGACAGACATCGACTTTCAAAATGTCGACGGACTTACAGCTCTTCATCAGGTATGCATAGCGGAGTTCTGGACGTGAGGGCTRAGGGAATATCTGTGGAAGGATTCAGTGGTTTTTGGATTGATTCTAAACCTACTGTAAGCTCTTCTCGGAGGTTTAAACAATGGCCCAATTAACGAAGCTCTCCTTGTGTTCAACTGCGGACGTTTACTTGTAGATGCCCGGGAACGTAGTTTTTACCATATTCTGTCGGTTACAATATGGATATAGCACGYTCAATAAAGAATAAGAATTCCCGACATATTATCCTGGMTGTWGAGCTTTTATTTTTGAGAAAATTTTGATGGTTTTCGGGAGCAAAATATAACACTTACAAGAACATGGGTTGTGAGATTGTTGACTATCTCTCCAACTGCAAACCTCTTAGCTCGCCTTCACCTAAAAACAAGGCCTCCAGCTATTTTCCTCCACTTCACTTCAGTTTKTTTCATAATTTTTGACTTATTGAATCGCCCATGCAGCTTCAGAATAAACAKTTTATTCTCTGTTATAGTTTAATTGAAATTGCTATGCTAGATTGGAGGGATATATTGGTGTAGGATCTTGCATGATAACCTACTGTAGACCTCGTTTGYGCTTGCATCTGTAGACTGACGAAGTATTTGCTAATTCTTGTATGATCTTTTAGGCTTGCATAGATGAAAGTTTCGATTTAGTCAAGATTTTAGTTGCGAATGGGGCTCGTTTGGATATTAGAGACAACGAGGGTTGGACTCCTCTACATGCTGCCGCTAGCTGTGGATCTGTTGAAATCGCCAAGTAGGTTATTTAACTTATTTATTTTTTTGGAATACAACCACATAGGGGGGCTTGGCTGCTCTGATGGCTTGAAAATAGATTATACATATATAGATTGTATATTTATCGAAATCGTAGCCAATATGTACAATCTATCGGCCATGTTTTTAAATCCTTCGCCCAGTTATTTGAGGAACTCGCTAAGAATGGTGTTGTGGGATTCGCTTCGAGTTTAAGGCGCGATCCATTGTAGAGCAATTTAACTACATGTTCGTCTTTTTATGTCGATTACCTCTAAGATCCTTTATATAATCACTGGTTGTCATTTAGACTGTATTTTTGTGGTTTACGGGACTGAAATACAGTGGAATCACTACACTAACATTCAGATATCGAATAACCAGCGAAGGTATTCTAGCGTCGCTAGAGCCCACTAGCTTGTATAGTTCCAACTCTTATAGCGTGAGTAAAGTGTTTTGCGATTAGATATGCTAACAAAAGTAATTTTAGGTTGGTTATTAGATTGTAAAGTCGCTTATTTCCAATCGTTATTTCGAAATGTTGACATAAATAGATTTCTGATCGAAAACTACTAACTATTGGTTGTATTGACGTGATCTTGATGAAGGCGACATCTTAATAGACTTCTGTGCATTGGAAACCGATGAAAATCTCCTAAATATACTCTGTCACTACCTCTAAAACAATGCACAACACCCCAGTAACTTGCAAGGATAGTTTTTGTCGAGTTTAGTGAGGAATTATGATGGAGTTTTCCAAGTCTATATGGTAATCACTTTCACCCCACGGTCGATCGCTAGGACACTGCATAACACCAAGACTCATTCCTCTATTGGTTTGTTTATGAAACCTCTCCAGCAAGGATCATCGAATTCTTTTGTAATTCTTGAGCACTTACTTAAATTAGACTTCCCTGTTATGAAATGAATTCATTTTCAAAGCTTCCATCACGACAAAGATCCTGCTATATTAATGTAACTTTCACCATTTGACCGGCTTTTTATTTATTTTTCTTGTGTATCTAAGAGAGCTTACTAGTTGCATAATTGTTCTATAGTCTGAAGCCTCTTTGAGAATAGGCATTTCTCATTTAGATGGCATGTAGTACTATAATTTGTATTATTCCTTGTATTATTGGACGATGCTCTTAAAAAAGATTGTACTTCCATACTTATATATATTTTTGGATCATTAAGACTTATCAAAACCATATAACAATCTATGTTATCTGCAATGGAATTATACTTGTATCACATTGAAATATTAAAGTTATCCAGTTATTTTCCATTATGTGATTATATACATTTCCTAATAAGTTCATTTCACCATTTAGCATTAGGGATATGTAGTGTTGATTATGTAGTATTTGGGACCGAAATCTTTCAATAATTTCATTATAATAGTATAATGTACACACATAAGTCTATAAGACAGTTATAGTATGACAGCATAATGTACATTATTTAGACACTATTTTTGGAAAATGTACTATCTAAAATAATCAACTTGGCATTATACAAGAGAGGTTTTTCAGTCATTCAGTATTATTACTATTATTAATGCCATTCAATATCTTATATTGCTGACAGAATGTTGTTTTACTGGCTGGTATTATACTGTGAGCAATAGGGATTTTAGTGTCGATATATTGCATATAAGTAGAAGACATAGTATTAACTATGATTACGTCATTTCATACAATAATGTTGTTAATATTGGTGTTGTATATGATCGACTGTCAACCTCAATTTTATCAAAATTTTCCAAATCTTTCCACCAAGTATATTCTTTAAGACTATGATAATTTTATTTCTTAATTTTGCAAGTATAGTCTGCACATTATCATGTAAATGAATACAATGTTTATGGACCCATTACTACATGTAGCCAGAAAGACAAGATTCCAACATCTTTTTTTCTGCAGATGACAATAAAAAGTTATACATTTGGAAATAATATTTATCCATGATCATTGATATACTTCTTGGTATTTGCTGTAAATTCAGACAAGTTTTGTAAAACATTATAGTATTATATAACTTAAATCATATTGAGTACTGTCACCCCTATTATAGTTTATGATACTCCATTTATATATCTCAGTTCGTTGTAAATGTATTATGAATCATCTTTGTCATTCAGGCTGCCTGATACACACTAARRWTTWWKG